TTTATGATTGACCCATAGTTGACTGGCTCTTCAACTTGGGGCTCCATATGAATACATGGTACAGTTGTGCGCATCTTAGCAACATAGAAAGTTCTGTGATGTCACTCTGCCCCCAAGAATATGCAAATTACAAGTACTGACTTTTTCTTAAATCATAATGGCCTGCGTTTATGGCACTTTAATATGCTCCCTGGCATTGCCTTGGTGGATGAATAAATGGCCAGTGGCTTTGACTAGCTTTTCCCTTCAAATATGTGGAAAACTTACTCCTGATAAATTTGACCCTATTTTTCGCGACCATATAATTTATAATAATATATGTCATCGAAAAATATTTTGAGATAAACTTTCACTATAGAAACTTGTGTAATGTTTTTTAACATTGGGAATTTGGGACTCTTGTTCTAAAACAAATTTACATTAAAGCATATGTCAGATGACCATAGCGTGCCATTGTTTACAGACAAGCGTCTACCCATGAGTCTTTGCATTTTTTAGTGTGTGTTATCGTCGCTTGGGACTCAATTCCTGCGCGTGCGCAGGTGACAACCCTCCCGCTTTAAGTGTCTGTCTAAAGTATGTACTAATAATCATATTGTTCTATATTTAGATATTTTCAAATCCAAATGAAGATGAGATTAGAGCTGATGCCAATTTCTTCAGTTTGCTGTTTGTTGTTATAGGAGTGGTGTCTGGTTTAGCTTATCTGTTACAGGTAAGCTGTATTCTGTCAATTTTGATGTTTCATGTGTTCCCTAGTAAGCAGAGTTAGGTCGGTATTACTGTTTCCTGTGATCCCAGGTGAGCCGTTCAGTGTTACTGATTAAACTCTATTGTGTGCACTGCCTTCCCAATTGCTTTTGTACTTGATAGGTAGGTACCTACTCTAAAGTTCCAAATAAACTTATCGGTATGTTTATTTTTTTTCCTGAAAAATTCCACCTGGAATGGTATGTTTACTTATTTTTCTAAATTGGGCCGAAAATTTCTTGATTTAAAAAAAAAAATCATGCCGTTTTGCTATCCAAATCAAAGCCAAAAGATTGCACTACGACATTGGTAAAACGCTCCCGTGTGTCGTTCACCATGAAGCCACTAACACTGTCATTAACATATTTAAATGAGCCATGGTAATTCAAACACATTGGCACCATCCAGCATTTTGATTGATTGATTAATTAGTGACTTGACCTATGAGGTCAATAAACAGTTTCAGGTCTGCGTGTGAATGGACAAACATGGCTGATATCGTATTACATCGAATGTTTACATGCGATTGAAATCATTCTCTTACATTGTAACTATTAAAGTTGAATTTTTCTGGCATTTCATAACAATTCAACAAATTTATTTTCTGTACGTTATTATAATCTATTGCAACACTTCGAAAACAAGTAAGTTATTAACTTGTGAAAAGCAGCATGACCGGATTGCGCTACCTAACTGTGATCATTTGCTACTAAGCAATGTGTTTGTTTTTATTCAAAACTTTTTTAGAATATACTTTTGGTACCAACAACATTAAAAAATAAATGCATATTAAATATACTGAGTATTTTTTGTTATCATGTAACAGTTTTTTTGATTGACTAATTTTTTGAAATTTCGTGACACCTATCACGTATCAAATTAAGGTAGAGATGCAGTTTACCTGACAGGTATTTTAATTAGGAAACCAAGATGACCTCCCTTGTCCACAAAACTATATATTTTCGGAAAGCTTATTGTATGAATTTAGTGAAATGTATTATCGTTTTGTAAAAATAGTGCATAATATGGAGATCCCGTCATTACTTTTTTTCACAATGTTTCTTTTTTATTATTTATGTACAGCCTTGCTAAATCTTGCTAAGCATTCAAAAGAGGGAATGTTTGCACCTGTTATCGATATTTCAAAATCGTTTTTTGAGTATGTTCCACTATTCACAATTGTACAACATTTTAACAGTCTATAGCCAAGACTCTTTGGATAATAAAAAGCAAAAAAAAAAAAAATTTCACTCCCAAGTGCCCATGAACCTTAAGGCCTTTCACTCCTTGATGCCTAAATTGGAGTGACGCCTACTTAAAAGATTATACGGTATCTTGCTTTTCTCCAGCCACAAAGGTCACACTAGAGGAACTTGATTGATGCAGCCGACCAACTCGTGCATTTTTACCGACGCACGGCGGCACATAAATGAAGAAAAGTTTTGTCCTTGCAACTGATCAAATTCTGAGTAATACGTTACTATTGTACTGATTGGCTAGAAAGTTTCTCAGCCAGGCTGACTCAAGTAGTGATTGGTTTGCCATTTTGGAATTTGTTCTGGGGTATGTTCATTCCGAGGGGTACATTTATTTGGAACTTGAGAGTAGTGGGATTTCTTTCAGATTAATTCATTTTATGGCATGGATCAACAATTTTCTATTTTTAGTGAATATTTTTGGTAACTTTTTAAAAGCTGTGTGCTAAATTTATTCAATTTATCATATACATGTATCTAGGTATTTTTGCTGGAATTACATTGACTACACAGTTTAAGGTGGGGTCAGAATTACATGTAATCTCATTAATATGCATAACTATGGTTCTAAGCAAACTGAATTGATGGCAAAACCAATTAGACATGAACAATATTACTGATGAAAGTTGGTTGGAAGTGTCAAATACAGTTAGTTGAACTATTTCTGGCATATTAATATTGTTTGCTCTGATTCCACTCTTATTTATTTATTGTAGTCTACAATGTTTGGTAAATCCGGTGAAGAATTAACAATGAGGCTTAGAAGTCTGACATTTCGTGCCATGCTAAAACAGGTAGGAGTGAAACTTCTTTCCCAAGCTATGTATCACACCACTTATAGTGGTCAACATTGGCATGT